CCCGCTGTCCCTGGTGGGGGGGCACCGACCTGAATGATCTTCTCGGGAATGTTGGAGACGGTGAAGCCGTAGAGGCGCACGCGCTCCGGGAAGATGCTGGACAGGATCCTGCGGTCCAGCTGGAAGGCGATCTCCCCCACCAGCCGTTCCCAGGCCATCTGCCGGGACTCTGGGCGAGAGCGAGGCTGCGGTCAGCGGGGCTTGGGGGCGCGGGCGGCTGGGGGTGGGGTGTGGGGTGGGGGGCGGGCGCGGCTCACCTCGGGGGCTCTCCTGGAATTTGCTGACCTTTCGGTGGGCCAGCTTCCGCTCCAGCTCCAGGACGCTCTTCCGCGATGTTTCCGAGGCGCGCGCCCCTCGTGCATCGTTGACCGAAGCCGGCAAGGACGACATGCGAGTCGGGGAGTGGGAAGGGGCCCGGGGCCGGCTGGGCGAGCGGGTGGCACCGTGGGCGACGTTCGTCTCGCTAGGGGAAGCGCCGTTGGAGGCAGCAGCTTGCGGGTTGGGGATAGAATCCCTGGGATCTGGGGCGGAGGAGCTGGCACAAGAGACTATGGAGCCAGTGCAGACGACCACCTGCCCCTGGGGGGCACTGGGCTGGGTTCGCACATTAGAGGCGCCATAGAAGGCCGCTGGGCTGGTGGGGGTGGACGAGAGCAATGGTGGCCCCACAAAGGTCACGCTGAGGGGCTCCGCCGAGTCCTGGGACGACCTCATGTTCTCTGTTGACGTCAGGACCACTAGGTAAGAGGAGGATTGGAAGCTGGGCCCCACCCGCCCAGACCGGCCATCCTGCTTGTGTCCCGTACCTTTGCCGTGAGTGCCTGTGGCCTGGGATCCAGAAGAACATCTCCGCATGGTCTCAGACAGCCGCACCCTTGTGGACTCCGAGGTCACCGTGTTGCCCAAGGGGCTGGCCAGCAGGCTCTGAGGTACAGCCACTGGGGCCATTGTGGAGGCAAGCAGGGGGCTGCTTGGGGTGAGGGGGTTGGATGAAGTCAGCCCAAAGGAGGTGGTCACCGTGCCTGCTGGAGGCGCCGCCGTGGGGGGGCTGCTTGGGGCCAGGGGGCCACTGGAAGGCAGGCTGAGGGAGGTGGTCAGTGTGCCCATTGGGGGCACCACCATGGGGCTGTTTGGAGTCAGGGGGCCACTAGAAGGTAGGCCGAGGGAGGTGGTCAGCGTGCCTGCTGTGGGCATAGCCATGGGGCCGCTTGGGGTCATGGGGCCACTGGAAGGTAGGCCAAAGGAGGTGGTCATCGTGCCCATTGGGGGCACTGTTATGGGGCCACTTGGAGTTAGGGGGCCGGTGGAAGGCAGGCTGAGGGAGGTGGTCAGTGTGCCCATTGGGGGCACCGCCATGGGGCCACTTGGAGTCAGGGGGCCGGTGGAAGGCAGGCCGAGGGAGGTGGTCAGCGTGCCTGATGGGGGCCCTGCCATGGTGGTGGTCACATGGCCGGTAGAAGCTAGGCCCAGGGAGCTGGCCAGCGTGCTAGTGGGAGGCACTGCCATGGGGCCAGGCGAGAGGCTGCTGAGCTGAGCCGCCTGCGGCACAGGCATGGAGGCAGACAGCAGTGCGTTGAGCTGGCCGGCCACCGAGTTCATGATGGAGGTGGCTGGAGGGCCGGGCTGCGAGCTGCTCAGCATGTCGGCCAGTGGCAAGGTCACCATGCCTGCATCTGACTGGTTGGCTGCTGTTGGGGATGTGGGCAGAAAGATACCTGTGGGGACACAGGAGACACAGAGGTGCAGAGACCAGCTGAGTCCTTCTGTGGAGAGCATTTACCTGGTGACAGAGTTCAGAAGAGGGAGGGGTGGGAAAGGATGGGGGAGGGGAAGCCGAGCAGGAGGCCACTGTCAGTGTCTACCCGTGACTTAGGACACTGTAAGGGTGGAGACCGCATGTAACAAACTTGTAGGTAGGTCCTTGGGGGCAAAACTGACTTGCTCGGCAAACCTTCTCCCTATTCACAATCAAAGGCTAAAAATAAAACCGACATTCCCACCTTGGGTCCAGCTGTGCCCAAACAGGAGGGGGTGGCGGGGGTGGGCATTGGAGCCCCCAGTCTCCTGGGCAGCAGCTTTCTGGGTCCTGGGTGCCCTCTCACTGTGGGCGCCGAGATCGCCCTCTGGTGGATGTGCTGCACCAGGGAGGCCTCCACCACAAACCTCCCCGCACAGCTGCTCTTAGGACAGTGTAACTGGCCCGTGGGCTCCGGAGGCTGTGGATCTTTATGGGAGCAGAAAGCCTCAGCTCTCTCCCTCTGAGCAGCTGGTGGTTTCAAACGACTGACCCTGCCGTTAGCAGGCCAGCATGTCACCCACTATGTCACCGGGGCGCCTACAAACAGCCCTGCTACGGGGACATCCCTGACTCTTGTCAGGGCCCACAGGGGCTCTGTGGGCACAGAGGAGGGACACCAGGAGCCGGGACGGACTCAGTAGCAGGGGCTTAGTCCGTCTGGCTTGTTTGGGTTTGTTGGCTGGTCTGTTTGTTTATGCACGGCCCGGCTCCTTTCTTCAGACCCTCCCAGGAACGCTCTGTCCTGTGCTTTTCTCTGCCCCTGACCTGGGGCTCTGGGGCGGGAGCCAGCGGGAGCCGCCACAGTGCTGTGGGCTGGCAGAGATTTGGGCCTGGCCAGGCCCCACAATTGCATGACCGGCTCCTTGAAGTCAACCTGCATGTTTACATCCCTGACCACCTGGTTCGCTTCTCTAGAGAAGCCAGCCACTAGGTGGGTGCCAATCGATGGTACTGTGGGGGCTTGTGCGTTGCTGCGGTGCTAGAAGCGGTGTCACTGGCATTTCAGGTGCCAGCAGGGTCACCCAAAGTGAGGTTTCAGCAGAGCTTCCAGACTAAGAAGAGACCACCCCAGGCTGCCCACGGGGTTGTAGTGCAGCCAAGCCTGGCCGGGTCTCCTCCATGGGTCTCCCGGCTGAGCCACTGCATGGCGCTCCACTGCCTCCTGCTACGGCAAAAGCTCGGAGAAAGCACAGAGTCGGTGCCATTGCCCTTAGAATCCTCTTCCCCTCGCTTGGTTCCAGACCCACCCCCTCCCCCACACACACACACACACACACACACACCCCTATCTCGCAGGAAGACAGGTTCTTTACAGAGAAGATGCAGCCCTAGACCCAGTTTCCTGCGCTTCCCACCACGTAGCACCCCTCGCTCACCCCAGGACCAGTGAAGGGATGCACCTTAATCTGTGAGCCCCTCTTGCTCGTCTTCTCCTCCCCCTCCACCAAGAAGTAAATCCAGGCTGCTGCCATCATGAAAGGAAATTCTGACCTCCCTGCCCTTCTCCAGCGAGGGCCCTCCCTCCTCTACCTTGTGGAGGGATGCCACAAACTGTTGTCTGCGTTCCCACTCACCCTGCCGGGCCCACCTCTCCAACCGAGGTCAAGCGGCCTCCAGTCATTAAAGGCGACTACTCGTCCTGCTTGACCTCTGGGCAGCCCATGAAGCTGCCTCTTGGCTTCCCTTTCCTTGCCCTCGGAAGCTCCCCGTGCCTCTCCTGCCTGTCCTCGCCTCAGGCCGCACTTCTCCTGCCTGCTCCTCCCAGACACTTGCCTGCCTCCCGATCCCTTTACTTGCCACCCACTCTCGAGTCTCTTCTCTGGCCCCACTTGTCCTCTGGGCTTCAGGCTCACGTGGCTGCTGCTCCCCAGACACTCCAGGCAGATGTAGTAGAGCGGTCAAAGGGAGCTTGCTGGCCACCTACGGGGCAGTCCCATTCCTGTCCTATACGGTCCCTGTGAGCTGGAGAGGATTCAACACTGGGGACTTGTCTACAACACTCCTCCTCCTCCTTCAAAGCTCCGGTGCCTCCTCTCACATCTCCCCTAACATTTGCAGGACGCTGGGCAGGAGCGTAAAAACACATCACATGTCACCAGATCACATGTCACCCTTTCCAGAGTTGTCAATCAAGCTCACAAACTGTTCCACCCTATTTTCTGACCCTGGCTAAGAGCCTGGAGGTCCGGAGGGAGAAGTGTGGTCCCAGAATGAGGGGAGCTGAAGGTCCACTTGAAAACACGAGACTGGGCCCTAGGAGAGGGCCAAGCACAGGGGTGGGTAGCATGCACACCCACATGAGGAAGTGGCCCTGCACAGGAATTCGCTTTTGGTCATTTGTGCGCTACGGTCTCAGAGCGGTCACCACCAGCCACTCGGCCACCCGAGACAGGCAGCAGACCATCCGGGCACTCGCTGCTTCATCTTCCTCCCCAGTAGTTAGGGTCCATTTCTCTTACTGGACACTTGATTCAGTCTCTCCACTATCTAGTCCAGCGGTTCTCAACCTGTGTGCCTTGACCCCTTTGGGGGTCGAACGACCCTTTCACAGGGGCCGCCTAAGACCATTGGAAAAGATATACTATTTCGGGTGGTCTTAGGAACTGAAACATCGCTCCTCTCTCTGTCTCCAGGTGGGTCTGCCCACATGCAGATACGCCCACCTATGAGTACCTGGTGTGAAGACTGTTACCCATGCTCCACCATGCTTCCAGACAAAATTTCATTTATTTGTCATTAGAAATAAATATTTCACAATATAGAATTACATATTGTTTTTGTGATGAATCACAATGCTTTCATGATGTTCAATTTGTAAGCATGAAAATACTTCCTCCTATCAGACATTTACATGACGATTCATCACAGTAGCCAAATGACAGTGAGGAAGTAGCAACGAAAACAATGTTATGGTTGGGGTCACCGCCACATGAGGAGCTGCATGAAAGGGTCGCGGCCTGAGGAGGGTGGAGAACCTCTGCTCCGGTCCATCATCTAGCCACCCCCCCCCCCAGTTCCAACAGCTCCAGCTTGGCCTCCTGCCCCCCAACCCCCCAACTCCTGTCACTCTGGAGCCCATGTCCCCAGCTGGAATGGGATGTTGGGGCACAGACTTGGTGGCTTTCTGCTTGAAACACCAGGGTCTGCTTCTCACAGTCCGCACCAGCCCAGGTCTCTGTCATGCCATTCACAGTCCTCTCTGCTCACCTCTGGCTGCATGGCTTCCGACTCACCAGGCCCAGCACGCATTCACTGCCTCCCCCATCTCTCTCTCTCTCTCACACACTCACACACACACACACTGACAAAGCACAGAAGTCATACACCACACTCACCACTCACAACGACCACACACAATCTACACACAAGCACATACCCCACGCATAAACATACGTGGCATGCTCTCAGACACACATATCCACACATCTCACCTACACTGTTACAGACACGTTCACACATCCGTTGGTCACCCACGCTGCCACGCTAGGACTGTGCACACACACTCATCTACCTGCCATCCTGTCACGCCGTCCCAGGCTTTGCCCAAGTGTGTGTCTCTGCCACCAGCTGAGGCTCTCCAAGAACCTGGCCTGAGCCGTGTGCATGGCCCCCAAGAAAGGGCTCAAAGATTCTGTTAAGAATCCAAAGCAGAAGGACAGAGGCCAGCTGACCTTGGCGTCAGAAGCCCAGGCTCCTTTCTTAAGCCGGCATTCTAGCCACGTGTCCCCCCACCCACAGCCCCCGTGGACCCACTGGCTGCCTGTGCCTTTCAATGGGGAGGGCCCATGTGCTTGGCTGACCAGGGAAGACTCCAGGGGCGGACCCCTGGTGTCAGAATCCCGCCTGCTAAGGGCCAATGAGCTGGGCTCAAAGGGGAGCTAGTGCTTGGGGTGGAACCTGGGGGCTGTGGGTCCAGGGCAGTGTGGCCCTTGAGAAAAATGTGCCCTGGGGGTCGGCTATCTGCTGTGGCGCTTAGATTGCAGCCACACAGGCAGGCTGTCAGGCAGCATGGGGACAGGCCTGGAGAGGGCAGGGAGGTGGCTGTGGAGCAGTGCACTTGAACAACCCTGCTGTGCACTCCTTGCATGCCCTTGAGGGCTTTGCTGCCCTCTCCTCAGTGTTGAGGCCAGGGCCACACCTGGGTGCCGGCCCCCGTGTTCTCTGTGCAATACTGGCAGGGCCCACAGCTTCCGTCATCCTGCTGTCCCACACGCTGCATCCTGACCTGGAGCCCACCACTCCAACACTCCTCTTGAGACCTCTGCCCTTCTACACCCCTTCTCTGTCGCACAGCTTGCCTTTTCTGCCTGCACCTATACTTGCTCTGTCGTCCACTGGCCACCTTCAGGTGGTCACTACCAGGGTCCAGAGCTGGGCTCCGGGCAGGCCCACAGCAGGTGGAGGGGATGGGGCGTAGCCTTGCCTGTGCCCTCCCCCTCCTCTCCCCCAGGGGTCGTGAACCTGCTCTCCTCTGGGGCCCCGAGTCCCAACCCTCCCTCCTGCCCTCCGTTCTGCTGGCGCACCGCCTCTTACAGTTGCCCTGGCGCAGGGGTGCCGGGCCGGTGCCCTCGCCGAGCCCGCCGATGCCCAGGCCGCTGGCCTGGCTCCGGATGGCCGACCTGAGCTCGTGGTTCTCGCGGATCAGCCGCACCAGCTTCTTCAGCTCTTCGTTCTCCCGCACCAGCTTCTCGATCTGCTGCCGAAGCCCCTCGTAATTGGAGAGCAGAGACATGCCCCAGGCGGCGGGGGGCTGTGCCCTTGCTAGGGCACTGGACCTGGAGGCTGCCCAGGGCCCCGGGCAAGGCCCGGGCTGGAGCAGGACCAGGGTGCACAGGGCCAGCCCCGTGGGCCTGTATTGTGAGGTCAGAGGCAGCCAGGCCCAACTGCTAGGCCTCTGCACAGCCTGGCCTCTACCTAGAACACCGGACCCTTCTCTCTCCAGCCAGCCTGCCTTCAGACGCTGCTTTGTGAAGGCCCTCTCGCCCTCTGGATGCTGCCCGCTGCCTGTTAGGGTCCTCAGGGGGCCTCCCTGCCAGATCTCTAATGCTCTTTCCTGGACTGGGCCCCAACCTGTGCCCCCAGCTCCAGCAGCAGGTCTGGGCCAGGCTGCTGGTTGACTGGGATGCTTGCTCCCCAGGCTACTGCAATCTTGGGCCTTCCCGGTGAGCCTGTCGCCATCCTTCTGAAGATACTGATCTCAGGCTCCCAGCACCACTGCCCCAGGCCCCCTGCCCGAGGACCTGGCTCCCTCCCTGCAGCTCCATGTGTCCATGACCTGGCCCCGGCCCCCGGCTGTGGCCTTCGTCCTGGATCTCTGGCCCCATCTCCTCGAATCTTCCAGCATTGGTCTCTCAAGATCTTAAGACCGTGCTTCCAAGGACTGGACCCCCCTACACTGCACCTTCTTCACACTCCCTCCAGACCTCTTCTGGGCAGGCCAGGGTGGGGCCTGGGGAGCAAAGAGCAGGCGGGAGGAACCTAGGCTGGGTCAGCCTGAGTGGGGCATTCCACCAGACCTCACAATGAGGGGGAGCCCCCACCCCCTCGTGCCCCGGAGACTGTGACCCCATGAGTCGCCGGGGCCCTGGGCTAGGCTGAGGGTCTTTTCATCTCGGCTCGGTGCACCAACCTCAGCCTTGCCCTGTCCCCTCAGTCACTCTGTCCCCTCAGTCTCGAGCCCTGTCCATCAGCTGGGCGGGTGACTGCAAGGCGAAGCCAGCCCCTAGCACATCATTATGGGTTCGGTGGGCACAATTGTACAGCGATAATAAGCAAAGATTACAGTAAAGTTGTAGAGAGATTGAAATAATGGAGTCGGACACACTTCATGATAGCATGCTCACCTCAGCCCCGCTTGGTGGTCCACGTAGAGAGAGAGAATCTTTAATGCTAACCAAGGTTTTTATATTCTCTGGGAACGTGCAAGCCCCCTAATTACAGGGGAAGACATACGTCATAGGAAGGGGCTGTGCTATAGGTAATACAGAAATGGGAGGGGGTGATCTAGGGGTATCCACGCAATAGGACGAGGAGGGATTGGGGGTATGCATGTGGCAAGATGGGCGGATCCTAGAATTAGGAGGGCAGCTTAATTTTGGATGTCAGGGCCAGTTTGACCTGTTCCCTGGCTCAACTGATAGAGACATTATCAGTAGGGTGTGAACTCCACCTATAGGAACCAAATGGATGCCTGCAGGCCTGTCCAGTGTCCTTAACAGCAGGGAGTGGGGCCCGCTGCAGTCTGGCAACTGATTGCCCTCAGGGAGGGTGCCTGTAAGCACCGACCTCCCCCCACAGGTGACAGTCTCCACCACACACAGGGTGAGTGCCCACTGTGTGGCACCTGTCCCAAAGCAGGGCCTCTGTGCAGGACAGACTGGGGCACTTGGGTTGCATGTGCTCAGCCAGGTGTGCAGCCACTCTGCAACTGGGAGGGGGGGAGGGGGAGCAGGGGTGGGGGAGGAATCGGCTTTCCCGCCTGCCACAGCCATGCTGGCACTGATGGGAGTGGGGGCAGAAACCCCCCCCCCACCCCCCCCCACCCCCACATACCCCTGTCCAGAGCAGCCTGCCCACCTGCCCACAGTAGAGCAAGAGATGGGGTGTGTGCTGTGGGATGGAAGGCCAGGCCTGGGGCTTCTTGTGCTGCCCTTCACCTGAGAGCCTGGGGACCCTGGAAGGTCCCAGGGAGAGGGCTAGGGGAGGGAGCCTCTGTGCCGGCTGAGTGAGGTGCCCCCCCACCCCCCCACCCCCGCCACCAAGCAGGCACCAAGGGGGCTGAGACAGGTCCTTGTGATGGGTTGAATGAGGGGCCAGGGAGAGAGGGTGGGCGCCAGGAGGCCTCTGTCTGTCACCGGTGCAAGACCCTGTTTGGCAGGAAGCTGCCCAAGCCAGTACAGCTGAGCTTGCCAAGAACAAGATGCCTGGGGGCGCTGGGAAGCTCTGTCCACAAGCAGAGTGATGGCCAAGGTCTGGCCAGCCCCAGCTCAGGGAGCCAGACCCACATGAGAGGATGCAGTCTCCCAGGAGCCAGCGCTGACCAGAGGCGGAGGGGTGGGCAGGAGGCCAAGTGGCCTCCAGGGCACAGGAGGAAACACTGCAGGCAGGGGAGGCCTGGCCAGGCTGGCCTGGCGGCTGAGCAGGTGGTCAGCTGGTGCATTAGACAGGACCGAATAGCTAGTGTGCCCAGGTCCAACCTCCCTGGCTGAGGTGGGGCCAGCAGGAAGGGGGTGGGGCACACGCTCCCCGGAGAAGCTGGCCACCAAGGGTAGTGGCCCTTCTCCCTTCTCCCTGTCCTCCCCCACAGCCTGTGTGTGTGTATGTCCTCTTCTGAGAGCCCTGGGGCATGGGGACCTCTCACAAGAGCCCCTCAGAGGCTCCAGAGGGCATTCGTGCAGCCCTGCCCCACTTTTCTTTCTCTGGGGCCTCTGAGGGTGTCTCCACCCCGCTTCTCTCCGTTTCTCTGGGCAGTGTCATTGTCCACCAACTAGCTGTACGCTGGGCTGCTAACGGCACGGTCAGCAGTTCGAGCCCGCTGGCCACTCAGCTGCAGCAAGATGAAGCCGTCTGCTTCCAGGGAGATGTCAGCCTCAGAGACCCCAGGGAGCAGTTCCCCTCCGTCCTGCAGGCCGCCCTGCTCGGAGCTCCTCCTCGTGGGCTGAGTTTCAGCGTTGGGCTTGAGCTTTGAGTTTGGAAGAAAGCAGCAAGCGTGTGGGGCCGGAGGGTGAAATGTACCCGTGACGGTTGGGTCGGGCAGTTTGGGGTGAGAATCTGAGCAGGGGCTGGGGGTGGCGGGAGTCTGCCTGCTGGTGACTGTCCGCAGCCAGTACATCCTCCTGAGGGTCAGCGCCACCCTTGTCCTGTAGTTGGGCAGTAGCGTGTGGACAGCTTGTGCCCGCAGCCTCGCCTCCTTGGCGCAATGCTCGGGTTGTGAGGCTGCCAGGGCACAGTGCCCGCGTCCTCCCAAGGCAGTCTCTCCAGGCGGGAAGTCCCTGGCTCCAGCGCAGGGTCTGAGGAACACAGTGGCTCAAGTGAGCTCTCTGGGGAAGGCGGCCAGCTGGAAGTCTGCCTCCAGCCCCGTGCTCTGCGGGCGCCAGGGTCCACCGCTGTCTTCCCCAAGTTCCTTAGCATGCCGGCTTGTGCCAAGACCCTGCCTCACCCGACCCCGATTGTCACCACCGTCCTCTCTCCGCCCACAGTTCCCCCGGCCAGGCTTACTGAACTTCACAGGATACTGGGAAACTGGCCAGCAAGCCTTTGGGGAGGGGGCCCCCGGACTTGGGGGTTAGGAGGGGGCTTCCTTGAGGGCTGGTTTATTTTTTTATTTTTTAATCATTTTATTGGGGGCTCATGCAACTCTTATCACAATCTGTACATCCATCCATTGTGTCAAGCATATTTGTACATTTGTTGCCATCATCAGTTTCAAAACATTTTTTTCTATCTGAGCCCCGGGTATCAGCTCCTCATTTTTCCCCTCCCTCCTTCATGAACCCTTGATAATTTATAAATTATTATTGTTTATGTCTTACACTGACCAATGTCTCCCTTCACACACTTTTCTGTTGTCCGTCCCCCAGGGAGGGGGTTATATGTAGATCATTGTGATCGGTTTCCCCCTTCCTCCCCCAACCTTACCCTTACCCTCCTGGTATCGCTACTCTGAGGGGGTTTATTGGTCCTGAGGGGGTTTACCTGTCCTGGATTCCCTGTGTTTCCAGCGCTTATTTTTACCAGTGCACATGCTCTAGTCTAGCCGGATTTGTAAGGTAGAAGTGGGGTCATGATAGTGGGGGGGGCATTAAAGAACTAGAGAGAAGTTGTGTGTTTCATCGAGGCTTCACTGCACCCTGACTGGCTCGTCTCCTCCTTGTGACCCTTCTGTAAGGGGATGTCCAGTTGCCTGCAGATGGGCTTTGGGTCTCCACTCTCCACTCTTCCGCATTAACAATGAGATGATTTTTTGTTCTGGGTCTTTGATGCCTGATACCTGATCCCATCGACACCTCATGATCACACAGGCTGGTGTGCTTCCTCCATGTGGGCTTTGTTGCTTCTGAGCTAGATGGCCGCTGGTTTACCTTCAAGTCTATCAAAAGACCCCAGATGCTGTATCTTTTGATAGCCGGCTCCATCAGCTTTCTTCACATTGCTGCTGCACCCATTTGTCTTCAGAGATCGTGTAGGGAAGGTGAGCATCACAGAATCCAGGTTTGCTGTATGAGGTGGGAGGAGCTAGTCCCCCACAACTAACCACGGGTTCAGTAAGCACAATTGTACGGTTGAGATGTATATATATTATATTAAAGTCAATTGAGACTGGGAGAGTGGGTTGGAAAGAGGGAACCGATTACAAGGAACTATACGTGACCTCCTCCCTGGGGGATGGACAACCGAAAAGTGGGTGAAGGGAGACGTTGGACAGGGTAAGATATGACAAAATAATAATTTATAAATTATCAAGGGCTCATGGGGGGGGAGCGGGGAGGGAGGGGAAAAATGAGGACCTAATGCCGGGGGCTTCAGTGGAGAGCAAATGTTTTGAGAATGATGAGGGCAATGAATGTACAAATGTGCTTTACACAATTGATGTATGCATGGATTGTGATAAGAGTTGTATAAAAAAAATAAAGTCAATTGAGAGCATGAGAGATAAAAGAGATATTACGATAATGCAGTCAGACACATTTCATGGTAGCATTGCTCACCTCAGCCCCGCTTGGTGGTTCACGTGGAGAGAGGGGGAAGGGAAGGAGGGCAAGGGAAAGGGAAACAGAGGACGGGAGAGGAGAGGGGGAAGAGAGAGAGGGTGAGGGAGAGACCAGCGAGAGAGACCTCTATTGCTAACCCAGGCTTATATACCTTTTGGGGGCGTGCAAGCCCACTAATTACAGGTAAGGACATACATCATGGAAGGGGTTGCACTATAGGTTACACAGCAATGAGAGGGGGTGGGCTAGGGACATACACACAATAGGAAGAGGAGGGATTGGGGGTATGCATGTGACAAGGTGGGCGGATCCTAGAATTAGGATGGCCAGCTTAATTTTGGATGTCACAGAGGCAGTTTGACCTGTTCCCAGGTTCAACTGATAGAGACCATTATCAGTAGGGTGTGAACTCCACCTATAGGGCCTGTCCACTGTCCTTGAACAGCAGGGAGAGGGGCCACCCCTTGGTCTGGTGACTGACTGTCTTCAGGGAGGATGTCTGTAAGCATCTGACCTCCCCGCCCACAGGTTATTAGAACAAAGTGTTCCTGTGTTGAGGGAGAACTTGAGTAGAGGCCCAATGTCTGTCTGCTACCTTGATAGTTACCATATAAATATATGTACATAGATCTACTTCCCTATTGTTGTCTATAAATATATTTACATATGTAACGCCTGAGTTTGGGCCCCTGTCAGTGGGAGAGCTGGTTTATTATGATGATGTGCTCATGCTGCTGTTTTCCAAGACAGAGTTAGCAGGGAGGCTTCTGGGACACCGTGTAAGATGTCACACCTGCTCAGTCCCCTCCCCCTGGTGACCTGTGACTCCCCCTACCCCCACCCCTACCCCTCTGCACAGGGACCTGGGCACCCTGCAAAACAGCTTCAGGGTGAGCTAGGCAGTTTGTCCGGGAGCTCTGAGGCTCTACCTGCCTGCCGCACAAGGGGCTTTTGGGCCGCCCCCTGTCTCAGGAACTGGAGTGAAGTTGTACAGGCTGATACCTAGGTGGCACCCAGGCAGTGCAAAGACCCTGTGGCAGGGGTGCCACTGAGGGTGGCAG